CGCGCCACCGCCACCGCCGCCACCGCTACCGCCGCCGCCACTACCACCGCCGCCGCCGGCAGGAACGCCGTTGTTACTCTGATACGCGTCTTGCTGTTGTTGTTGCTGCTGCTGTTGCGAGGCGCTCGCCTGTTGGCTGCCCGTCACATTGCCGGACTGGTTATTACCTTCTCGCTGTTTCACCTGACCGGCCGACGAGCCATTCGCACCGGTTGGACCGTTGCTGCCATTGTTCGAGCCGTTGTGCTGCTGATGCGGCGGCGAAGGCGCTCCGTGATGATGGCCGAGCATCACCGCCGGCTTGATGTCACACGAGCTCGCACCGGACGCCCCTAGCGCATCTTGGTGGTGCATGAACGCGCCCATCACAGCCGCATGAGCGACCGCCGCTTGGTACTCGCTGGTGGTACCACCGGCTAGTCCGGAGAGAGGGTTGCCACTGTTATTATTATTGTTGTTGGCGCTCGTGGAGTTATTGTTGTTATTATTCGTACTAGAGGTTGTGCTGGCGGTTATGCTATCGGGAGTAGCATCCTTGGGCGGCGTTGGCGGAAAGGAGAAGAGATGATGGCCGGTACCGCCGCCACCGTGACTCGACAGACTTCCTGATGTGGGCGGCAGCGAGGATCCCAGGGGACTCTGCGGCTTCTCGTCGCTCACGGTACCGCCCGTGGTCGCCGTCGTTGCGGGAAATCCCCAGGGTGTCTTCGAGGTGTCCGCGCTGCTGCCGGACAGCCACGGAAGAACCGAACTATGAAAGTGCGGCCGGCAGACCTGGCTCACCGGGCCGCTCGACACGCCGCTGCCCGACATCCTTGCTGAAAAGCAAACATAACGCAGCAAGTTAAACGAAATGTTGCGTAACGCGCACATATCGTGTTGCAAGTGCAATAAATCGTGTTTATTTGATTTATATTGCTCTCTGCAACATCTATATTTCATATGTATTCTATAATATTATCGATGAAGCGTCATTGTGTCTTTGTTCAATCAATTTGTTCCATCCTACGTTCGAACGTATTGATCCGACTTCTGATCTAATCAAAAAATAAATATCTTATTGGCGCGTTGTGCAAAAACACATCGCCTTGAATAAATTTAAAAATCCTGCCGGCGCGTTATTGATGAAGAGATTCAGGCAGATGTCACTCAACTCGCGATCATGTTTCTGCTCGAGTATCTCTTATCTGGAAGTGATGACCGCAAAAGTAGACGTTCTCGTATAGCAACGACCGTTTTGCTAACGTGAAGAGGAGGAAGAAGAAGAAGAACCTGATTCGTGCGTGCTCGGAATGATCGAAGTTTATACCGATCGTAAAGGCTACCTAATTGCGGCAGACGTCTTAATTAAATACAATGACCGCTTGTACGAGATTTTATGATCCCTCCTCTTTCTCTCGTCTTTATAAACGAGCGAACGGCGCGCGTTTGTCCATATTCTTCGTTCGAAAACCATCGCGAGAGGTTTCACTCACAGGTAATTAGTTCTTCGTTCGCGATCTCAATTTCATTATACAATGGACACGAACGCGTTCGTCCGCGCAACTTTACGACGCGCCAATCAAGTCGCGTGTGCTAGACAACAACATGCGCGCGCTCGTCCGTTTTATTTATCTCGCTTATCAACAGGAAGAAAACGCGCCGCGAAGAAAAACACCGAACTGTTGAAAAACGCTACTGTTCGCCTGACGCTAATTGCTAACTCCCGGTTCGAATTGGACTATGCGTGTCGCATGCGGAGCTCGCGAACGTAATATGATTTGCGATATCGTCGCTAAGTTCTCATTCTCGATAATAGCTAACTTGATTTTATAAGCGAATTTGTGTAGTTACTGTTTTTCTCTCCTTTTTATTGCTTATCGTTGAGCAAAGAACGTGCGATTGAACTACGGCGCATTTCGCAGAATTGGTGTAATTAAAAAAAAAAAAAAAAAAAAAAAATGCTGTTCCGGAGAAAAACCAAATTTCTCGTTTAAAATCAGAATCAGTAATGCCCCCGGATTGATCACGAACCCGCTAGTGCAGAATACCGAAAAACAAAAAGTAACTGTATCTGTTTAATGAGAAGATAATTAACAGCCAACAAAAACTTGGCGCGACAACAATATCTAAAATTAGAGAGACGTTTATGGGACAAAAATGAATGGGCAATTATAGCCATCCTGCGACGATACGGTCACCTCTGTCATTAATGACGGTACAGAGAGCTCGTAACGCATCAAATTAATTATCCCCGGTTATTATCTTGCGAGTACGACGACGATGACAATCACAATGTCGGTCCATCTAATTAACCGATCCCCGTCTTAAGCCCCGTCGGCCAGGAAAGTGTGTGGCCGTTCTTTATAATATCCGTGCAAATTCGCGGATGCACATTGTTGCCAGCAAAATACCAGAACGTGCATGCGACGCATGCAAACCTGCTTACGACTCGAGGTTGGCCCGAAGTGGTCGATCGATATATCGAGTGGTTCTTGCCAACAACGACGCTCCGCCACCTTCGCGGCCATACGCTGATAACAAGTGTGGATGTTTTGCCAAACTGCGCTTTGTCTTTGTCTTCCTTCCTCCCTCGCTTTCTGAGCTTTCTGACTATCCTCTTTGAATTATGGGCAATAATTTAAAATCCCCAAACTCTTACGTCGTATTTCACGTCACATGAAGTTAGTCACATACTTAGTGAACGTTGGGGAGGAAAGACTTATTTTCTTCTCCGTCACAAATATGTGCGATTGCAAAACCCAAAACTAAGAGATACGATTTTAATAATATAATTGCAAATTGAACGTTAGTTGAATAACAAGCGAAACGACTCTCTTGGCTCTCTGTGTGTCGCGTTGGCAAATGGCGGTATCCGCGGAAAGTGGCTGTCTAAATTTAGAGAAGTGCGAAACACAATGTTACGAATATAGCGAGCAGCGAGATGAGCAGCTGCAGCTCTGTAATTAATCGGAGCCAACGATGGCCTGTCTGTAATTGGATCCACTGCATCGCGGCGCAACCGCGATGAAAAGTAAACAAGCTCTACGTGTAACTACGCTTTCGAATCCTCGACCATTTCTCGTTGCGCCTTGATATTCACTCCCGCTGTAAGGCTGTGCCATACGTTATCTGGCGCATCTACATTTGTTATTTTTAACAATGTAGAATCCCGCGCTTCAATTAGTGAAATTGTAACATCGTTATTGTAATGTATTATGGATAATAATTATCGAAAATATTATAACGCGTGTAATTATTTACAAGAAAACCGATTGAGATAATTTGTTAACTAATTGCAGCAACAAAAATGGCGATAAAAACCGCGGTGACACAGATGGAACGGCGGCGGCGGCGGCGGCGAGAAATGAGCAGACATGAGAGAGGAGCACACTTCGCACTCTCGACGCAATAAAAACTTCCATGCCGAGCGATATTTATCGCTCTTTCCGCTTCTCCACAACCCTCGCTTGCCGACGCCTGCTCGCCGTGCTCGCTTCCCTCGTCACCGCAACTCCGTTTTTACGGGATTTCACGGGAGACTTTTTTGCCAGCTCTTTCTCTACCCCGACGCCACTCTTTCTTCTGTCCCGCTTTTGTCCCACCCTTTCCCTCGCTCTTGTCGTCTTTGTCCCGCCCTGACGTGCTGACATAACTTTCGGACTGTTATCTCGACGATATTTCTGTCGACCCTGCAATTTTATCTGCAGTCGCCGATCGGTCGTGGAACGGCGAGCGCGTCCGGACAATATGGCCGGCGACGGTCAGCTGTTCGAACTGGCTCTCTCGCATTCCCAACGTTCTAGCGAGTATCGACGAGTCCGCGTCAATCCCGCGTCACGAGACAACGGAACGAGAAAGTAAATCGCCGATCTGATGGATTTTTCTAATGAGAAACTGTCGCGAGCGAAATAATCTCGCGTGTGTGTTACTCAATCACTTAAATCTGACGAGAATACATAGATGTGAAAAAACAAATGAATATAAAATCGGTAAGACAATAAAAATCACGTTTTCAACGAAACGGTAGTCGCACGCTTTCGACGGTTGTGATTTTCGCTCGTATCCGTTCGCAGAATAATGTTTCTATTCACCGGCGCTATCACTTTTACAAATCCGGCCGCCACTCTCTTCACATGTGCAATAAACGCGCTCCATAAATCGTTCGAAGATGATCGAGCCGTTCAGCGCGAGATGCGAAATCGCCATCATCTCGCGAATGAAAACCTTGGCAGAGAATCGCAATAACGTTCGTCCCAAGTGAGCAACAGGAAAGAAAAAGAAACAAGATATACGCAGACAAGCAATTTCGTTGTTGTGCGTCACGCAGAACTCGATCAGAGATTTCTACCACAAGTATCCATTTCCGAAACGCTCGTACAACAAAATCGAATTCCGTCTAATCTGAACGCGGGCATCTTTCTTCTAATCGTAGAGAGATTTCGTCCTTATCCTATTAAGGCGACATCATCCGTCGATCGGACCGAAAATACCGACCTCGAGAGGAGGGGACTCGCACACCACCCACACATATCACCGAATATAACGTATCGTGTATCCAACGACGATATTATGCTAACGATATTGATTTTCTGGCATATCATTTTATTCCCGCGTATCAAATTTCTACTCAAAACGGTTGTGTCGAACGAGAGAGGAGAACGAGAAATGGGAATTGCGGGAATCACTCTCTCTCTCTCTCTTTCTCTCAATTCGAGAGATTCTCTCTTTTTCTCTCTTTTTATTTTTAAATCTTCGGCAGCTAAAAAGTCGCTTAGAAAATACATTTTCTGCTTCGCTCCGCGTTAACCGCGTCATTAAATTTTAGATATCGCCTCGCTCCTCGCGATATTATCCGACCGGCTGATTCCTAGATAATAGCCGAGGGTTGTGCACATCCAGTACAATACCTCGCTCAGCGTATCATGAATATTCATGAAAAATCCATGGATACGGTCAACTGTTATATCGCGCGAACGAGATCGGCACGACGGACAGATAACGCGTTCGCGCTCCTAAATATTTTTTTTTGCTACTGCAAAACATGACAATCTATGCACACCGAGCCTCGTAAAATCGTTAAAGCGATGTTTGCAAATTTTTTTTTTTTTGTTTTTGAAATAAAGCCCCACAAATTTGTATCTCATCGTTCGGAACTTAATAAGATCGCTTCGAAGCGATCGGGTGGGATCGTTTCGGTCGGGATTCCCCTCGACTCTCTCTCACTTCAGCGTGCTTTTAAATTCGCTCGTCACGGGACAAGCGATACGCGCGATAATGTCAGAAGGCGACCCACGCGTCGCGGCGATCAAGATCGGTTCGATTAATCGCTTACTCGATCGCTCTCGGAGCCGAGAGTAGATGATTCAGGAGCGTACGCGCCCACGCGTTCAAGAAAGTACACGCAAGTCGCGTTACATATTCCGCGCTACTTGTCGAAGAACACGATATTCTGATAATAAATTAATATATGATAATCGATATGCCACACACAGCTCCCCGGCTTAGCGACGAACCGGAAATAGGCCAGGTTTATGGCGCACCTGTAAACAAATTGTCGAGCGTAAAACACCAGTTTTTTTAATTCCGTTTTTTCCGCACCGTGAAAAACCGCCGCGATTACGTAGTCGATACGCGAGTCGATCACGCCGATATTTGCATATTTATATTACTCCTTTACCGGTTACGGACAAAGATCAAAGCGGCGCAGTGATAAGCCGCGGCGGTCATTTTCCAACGAGCAAAACCAGACAAAACAAGTTCACAAGAAGAAGAACCGCGACATTTTAACGAAACCATAAATAAATAAACACCGGCGAATAGATATTCGTCAC